TAAAAACACACTCTTTCACTGTCTCTTCTGTCATCAGTCAAAATCCGCAACGTTCTTCATTATAACTTCGAGAACAACTTTACATCCATCGTATTTTCCAGGATATTTGCAAGAAATATCTTACAACTTGACCAAGAGATTATAGAAACAAATATAAATTTAAAAATTCACGTCAATGAAGCGATATTCATCTGAAATCCTTTCAATATATCTGTTATGTACCTAATATCTAGTGAATACCTTTTCCCAAAGCTGTCTTTCAATTCAGATAAAAGGATTTCAATTGGATTATCTCACGAAAGCATCGGAAGTGAAAGATCCCGTCTATAAGCACACGTTGACACATCATTTAGCCGAATATATGATTGAACAATATCCGGACGGTTCGGATTTATATTCGGAATTTGGTGCTGTTGCAAGAACCGCCAGAGTGAGCGATTTCTTGCTTAGATCTTATAATATTCAACTGATTTGTTACTTGTTCACATATTTTCCATTCTTTTTTCCCTTTCCTAATACGTCTCTATTTAGTGATGATTATTTCTGTGTTATAATTGTTGTTGTTTGAAACAATCTTCTCGCATCCAATTCAATTTTTCAGCATCTGATTCAGACAATATGGCTTAGCCAATTATTTTCAGTTGTAATCAATTGTCATGTGGATCGTTCTGCTGTTTTTTATTCAAGTGAATATCTCTTGAATTGTGATTGAATCTATCAAGATTTCAGATAGATTACGATGAGTTAGAGACGAATTTGAAGAAAATGGAGCAAGATTGTAAATCGTCGTGGGAGTATCTGGCAAAAATCAGTAAAAATGACAGTTCATCATCGATGAAACAGAAGATCAACGACTACTTAACGGATGTGGCACAACGAATTCTGCAACTTAAAACAATATTTCGAATCGCAATGAATAGGTATATTTGTTTAGCATTAAAATGTGCAGCAAATTATGGAAATTCGTATCCTACACTCTGAGTTGTTATTTCTGTTGTCTTCACACCGCTAATATTTGGACTTCAGAATCGTTTCGCATATTCTTCGACTTTCCTATCATACCACAATTGATCATATTTCGAATTCTGCTTTCATCGCAAAATTCTTAGATATTTCAAATATGTAATCGTAAACATGTAATCGCAATGTAATCGTTGTCGATTCATACATATTATCTGTGATTAACACTATTTTTTACCAAT